GCCAGACATCTCTGCTTGGATGTCTGATCGATATGTCAAATTCAGCACATCTGAAACTGAATTATTGACCTTTCTCCCAGGCCTGTGCCACCCACAGCCTTCCCCATCATGGTTGTGGCAACTTCATTCATTCTCCTAGCTGCTGAGGCAGAAACCCTCAGAGTTTTCCTCACCTGCTTTCTTCCTTTCACGCCCCACAACCTGTCCATAAGGAAGTCTTAAAGGTTTTACCTTGAAGTGTATCCGGAATCCAGCACTTCTCACTGCCGCCACACTGCCACCAACCCACTCTGTACCGCCATCATCTCCCACCAGGACCATTGAGTTAGTCTCGTAACAGTCTCCTTACAGCCAGATGGATCCTTCTAAAGTAAATCAGGTTACGTCACTTCTCCGTGCAACACCGTCACCTGTCATTCTGAGTAAAAGCCACTGTCTTCATGGCGGCCTGCAGGGTCTACAGTATCTCAGTCCCCGTGGCTCCCTGACTTGTCCCTTCTTCCTCCCCTCTGTCCTTTGTTCCTTGAACTCCAACCACAAGGCTTCTTTGCATGACCTCAGTTTAGGGCCTTTGCATTAGCTCTTCCTTCTGCCTGGAAGGTCTTGTCCTGCATACAAGCACGGCCAACTCCCTGACCTCCTCAGATCTCTATTCCAAACGTCTGTGAGTTAGTGAGGCTGTACTAATCACACTTTTTTATTTTTATTTTTTATTATGGTGACATTGGTTAACAAAATCCAGTAAGTTTCAATTGTACGATTCAAAAGTAAGTCATGTGTATTTTACATTGTACGTTCACCTCCCGTAGTTAGATTTCTTTCTGTCACTGCATATTTGACCCCTTTTACCCCATCTACCCCCCGTACCTGGTGACCCCTACGCCCTCCTGATTCTCCTTACCTTGCTCTGTTTCTTCTTCTTTATTCTCTTACCACCATTGAAAATACTCTGTCGTGTGCCCATGTGTGTGCCTCCACTAGATTGTAAGTTCCTTGAGGGCAGAGATTTTGTCTCTTCAGTCTATTGATATAAGTCTGTGCATAGTGTCTGGCACAGAGTAGCAGTGTGGTCGGTATTTGTATGGGAAGGGAGCTTTCCGTGCTTTTGTCTTGTTTATTCTTATAATGATGCTAAGAGATAACTATTGAACGGTGAAAGAAATCAAGGCACAGAAAGTTTTAATAAGTTCTCCAAAGGCACACAGCTGGTAAATACCCACCTCTACTTAGCTATAGAACCCGTAGCCTCGAACTAATAAATTTAGAGAGAATTGTGGAGTGTGGGACGGAGGGAGACAGGAAGCATGTTTCATCATTAGCAACGCTCTTCTCAGAGTGTCTGCATCTAACCTCGGAGAATTCGGTGTTTAATCCAGATAAGGAAGGCTTTGGCTGGTAGTTAACACTACAGTTCCAGAAGTGGAAGCCATCTGAGCTTCAGTCCAGGGGAAGTTTGGTGGTTTCCCATATTTTTTTCCAGGATGACACAAAGACATGGCCTTTGAGGAAACATCAGTGGTGTTTCCTCTCTCCCACAGGAGAGTGGTGGATGCCTGCTCAGCTGAGCAGTTCAGCTTCATGCTTCTTCCTTAGTCATTTGATTAACTGCAGAACATCTATTCCCTCGTGTTGTAATCCCTCGAAGGGCCAGGCCGTGGTCCCTGGTGCCACTTTCAAGAGGATGTCTACTTCTCTGAGCCAGGGTTCCCTCGCTCTCAGGAATGCAGAGCACTCTTGCCGGTCAACGGCTGCCCTCAGGTGTCTGACTGGATCTTGTGAGCCTGGGCCTAGATCTGGCCACCAACGAGAGGCCCGTTCTGAGCATGAGGCTGCCATGTCTTCCTCCTCAGCAACCATTGTTAGTTTTCGATGCTCTGTAATAAATTACCACAAACTTAGAGTCTCAAAACACAACATACATTTACTATCTCAGTTTCTGTCATTTATCTGGGGATAAGGGGTTGGGGTTCTCTGCTTCAGATGCCATCAGGCTTATTCTGGGTGGGCCTGCAGTCTCATCGGAGGCTTTACTGGGAAGAGAGATGCTGCCGTGCTCCTTCAGGTTGTTGGTGGAATTCGCCTCCCTGTGGTTGGAATATTGAGATTCCTGTTTCTGGCTGACCCTGGGCCAGGGGCTGCCTGCAGTTCCCTGCCACATGCCCTCTCACAACATGCCAGCTTACCTCTTCACAGCCAGCAAGGGGAGCGTCCAGCTCCAGTCTGCTATGACAGCGTCTTATAGCGTAACGCAAACACGGAAGTGACATCCTGCCCCCTTTGCCATGTCCTATTGATTGGAAACACATCGCAGGTCCTACCCCCACTCAAGAGGAGGAACTGTACAAGGTATGAATGCCAGGAGGTAGAGATCGTTGGGTGTCACCTTAGGGCATGGTCACAACAGGACCCATATTTGCTACCACCCCCGCAAAGCCGAGGAATCCAGAAACTCCCTGTGGCAGCCCTTCAGGCAACCTTTGCTTGTGGATTTAATGTTGTTTTTCACAGGATTAGTGGCAGGTGGAGGGTTTCTATGCCTGTACACCCAGCTCTGACCCAGCACTGCTGACTTCAAGGCTTGGGCAGCCAGCGTCTGTCCTCAGGAGATTCAGGGGTCTTTGCCGCCTCCTCTCCCTTCAACCATTCTTCATCGTTACAATCTTTTCATTTCAAATTGTGAATCCTTTAATTCCTAAAGGCAAGAGGAGACTTATTAGTTGCTCCTCTATTCCCCCAATATGCATTAGATTTACTTTCCCAATAGACCATAGGCTGAGATGTGATTTTTCATGTTTCATCTTGAAAATTTGTAATTATGCTGATTTTTGTTGATCTTTTGTACTTCTTTCAGTTCAGATGTACCTAAATTCATTATCTGTCTAAATGAACCAGAGCTGCCTCTCTTCTTATAGAACTTCTCATTCCAGAACCAAAGGTAGGAGTTACTAGATCCTGTACTAAAGGCAATTCTACTGATGTGGGCTGCGAGGTGCTTAAAGACAGACTTTTCTTCCCTCCGTTCATTTTATGGGTGTTCTACTGAGTAAATACAGTGTTAACTTATTTTAAATGATTACTGTTTTTCAATCTCACCATTTAAAATTCAACGGGTATTTATAAGTAACCTTATTCAGTCCGACATCAGTCTCCTTTGTGACAGAGCAGCCAGGTTTTCACATCTGAGAATTCTCTTCCTCCCATGCCTCTTTGCTGTTTGAGACCTCACACAAAACATGACAGTGTGTCATGACCAAGTCTTCTCTTTGAAAAGTTAGGAATCTTCTGCCTTAGTTCCTGTTAGTATGTCAGGAGGAACAGTTGCTAGATCCTGTACTAAAGATGATTCTTTACTAATGTAGGCACAGGATGAGCGTGTCGGGGGAGAATGAGAACATGGATCTAGTCTCTGAAAAAGTTTTAAGGGGAGAAGCATGGGGCAGAATTGGTTTATTCTTTTGGAATTAGTTTATCCCAGTTTGACCAGTTTGGAATCTGTTTATTCTTTTGCATTTCAAAGTCATGTGCCTTAATCTCCACTCCTGAAAAGATACGTTAAAAGAAAAAATAAAATCAAAATACGCCATTGACATTTGCCTACCCAATCACAGTTGCACACCTGGGGAAAACCAAATCTCTCTTTAATATTTTCACTTTTGAATTTTGTGTAAATCATTCCCAGGTGGCTAAGGGTAGCATAAATTGCTTTGCATCATATGGAAAAATCTTAGAAAATCATTTAAAAATATTATAGCAAGAAATGCTTTGAGAAACTGTCTGTCTGTTTGTTTGTTTAGTAGGAAAAATGTGTCTCAGGAGTTTAGTGTGAAAGTGCCTAGTTTAAGAGCGTTTTGGCTACGCCTGCTCTCACCGGGGCTGGCAGAAGTCCTTCATTGGTGGAGCTCCTCATACATGGGCTTGCTCGCCCCCTCAGCCAGTACAGAGTGGCTGTGCATGTGGTGCGAGCCCTGGACAGAGCCCCGGGCCATGATCTCGCAGTCCCGCTCCCCGCGAAGGGAGAGCATGTTCTCCACCCTTGCCGTCCCACTTCCTGTCGCCTGACACCTGCATGGGCCAAGGAATCACCTTCAGTTCCTAGCAACAACGTGGCTTCCAGGAGTTTCTAAGACCCAAGTTAGTGTCATGCAGGAACCCGTCAAAGGAACGGCTGAACTGTCGGAATGTCCTCCTGGTGACCGCTTGCCTCTGGTTCTTCTGATTGTGCAGTGTTGTATCACGTGCATGTGTATATGGTGGGAAGAGGAGATGGCAGGGCACACCGGGCACCCTGCACTGACCAGAAGACTGAAGGTGTTTGCCTCCAACAGCCGTCCCCTTCCCAGAATTTCTGCCTTAGTTGCCTTATAGCCTTTTTTTCTTTAATGCATCTTTAATTTTGACGGATTTTGCCAGAATGCCCTGTGTAGGGATCGAACTCTTTAAAAGTCTTATAGATATTATTTTTAAACGTTCTAAGTGCAGACTATATGAATATAGTCTTTTCAGAAAAAGTGAAAAAAACAATAGGGATACAGCTAAAATCTCTTTGGATCTCCACCACCAACCCCAGTCCCAGTTTCCATGCAGACCCTCTTCACCCACCAGAGGTAACCATTGTTACTGGTTTGATGTGTGTCTAACTAGTTCTTTTTCTATGTCCTAGAAGATAAGAACCAATGGGAAATATACATTTATACATTGAGAGAGAGAGAGCGAGCGAGCGAGCGAGCATGCCTGGATATGTGTGTTGTTTAATGTGTAAACCATATTGTGCTAAACCCATCATTCTAGAACGATGTGTTTTACTTGGTGATATGCCTAGGAGTTCTTTCCATGATGTAGATCTCCTTATATTATTTGAGTTGTTTACTATAAATTATTTTTCAGCAGTGCCTTTTTGGCCTTTGCTTTCAAGAAATAGTTTGGGGTTTTATTAAACACTTATGCTTTTTTTATATATTATTCAAAATCTTAATCTTTGTGTGTTTTTCCTCTGTCTTTAGATCTCAGAAAACTGATCACAATGAAGACTACATCTTGGAATTAGATTGCTGTTCCTCCTTAGTTCACCAGACAGACAAAAAAATCATCCCAGAGTTCATTGAGAAGGTGAGCCTTATAGTCAGGATACAACTGAACAGGGTGGCAGAGTATTTGCCTGAGGGAACAGGAAAGGGGCTGGCTTGGGGCTGGTTAGCCACACTCCATGGGCGGGGCCGGAGCCAACGCCTCCTCTGACCTGGGCCTTTGAGCAGCCCCACAAGGGTGCAGCCCCCTCCCACACATTGCCCAGGCTAAAGTCAAGTCTGGAACAAGGTAGCTTTCCCCTCCCTCCAGGCTGGTGGGACCCTGGACCCTGGCTTTTAAAGCTGGAGTGGCATTAACAGCTGGCAGGCCCATGGACCCACTGCCAGGATTCCTCTCAAACCCTCAGGGTGGTATGAACCCCCCAGATCCCACCTGCCACTCGTCCTGTGGGTCTTCATTGCCACGAGCTTCCTTCCGTTCCTACTGTGGGAACATACCAGCATCCTGTGTCCACTGGACTGGGATGTACCAAGGAAAGTTGCTTACGTGCAAAGGATTCATCCTCTGCCCAGAAGGGTGTCTGGTTTTGAACTCCTCTTCATGCCATATGAGCTTTGCCACCTAATTGCAGGGTCCACTTGAGTTTAATATGATGACTGCAGAAGGAATAGGAAAGCCCTTGCCCCAACTGGGGCTAAATTCATTGCCAAATGCTTACCTGTTCTCTCTTGCCTAGTCTTCCACAAGAATTGACAATTCCCCATCCTGTAGAGGTGATTATGATTTGCTTGAGATCTAGTCAGCTAGTTGAATTCATTAATAAATATGTTGGTGGACAACTTTGGGCCAGAAATAGTCCTAGGTGAATGGATACAGAGAACAAAATTGGCCTGGTCTCTGGCCTCATGGCCTTACAGCAGGCAGGTAATCCCTGAAGGAGTGTGATGAGCACTTTAAGGAGGGAAGCGAGGAGCTGAGGAGCAAGCGACGTGGTGTGGTCTGGGTGTCAGGGAGGTGCCTCAAGCTGAGACGGAAAGGGTGAGGAGGGGTTATCTGGTAAAGGGGCTGCCTGGGCAGAGGCAGGTTAGGGAGCCCTCCAAGCAGAGGGAGCAGCATGTGTGAGGACCTGAGGCAGAGGGAGTGAGGAGAATCTAAAGAGCAGAGGAGCTCTGAGGACGGAAGGGCACGTGACTGGTGGGAGAAGGGACCACTCCGCTGTAAAAGCAGTGGGAGGCTGTTGAGAGAAATTTTGCAGCAGAGTGAAATAATTAGATGGTCCCTTTAAACACCCAATGATTCTTTTTTTGTTATTCCCTTCCTGCCTTTCTCCCTTCAATATTTATTGAGTATTCAGGCTGTACAAGACCCTGGAAATAACCACTCATGTATGGTGGGGGCCGGGGCTGCAGACTTGAAATGAAATGATCTCCTAGGTCAAAACTTCTGGTAATTTTACTAAGGCATCAGAGACTCTTCCTACTCTGGTAAAATTCAGATCATTACTTATGAAATGGGGAAAAAGCAATTTTTGTTCCCATATGCATAAGCCTGAGAACACGAGTGTTGTATAACATGAAGGTGTCTTTATAAATAGGGCATCTTCTCTGGATTGCTGCAAGTAAACTGTTCTAATAAACTTGAGAGTAGACATCCTAGAGGTGAAATTTACCCCATGATCTGAGTACTGGGGAAAAATACTTTGAGAAATGGCTTTGTGATTAAGACTCAGATGCTGAGAATATTTGAGGGAAAGTGGGTAAGATGAGGGCATGAGGCTCTGGCCATAGTATCAAACGTGCTCTTTTGAAAATATGTGATTTGGTACTTTTGTCTTAACCAAACCTGGTCATTGCGTGGCTGACCCATTGCATTGTGCCCACATCAGTTCTTAAGGAGATGGAAGCCTGATTAGTAGGCACTCAGATGCTGTGTGTCTATAGTGTCTGAAGTGTAGATGGACGTCTGTCCAGCAGAGGAGATAACCTCAAAGTTATGGTTTGTAAGCCCTGAAGGACAAGCTGGTTTTGTATTTAACTTTTACTTTTATCCCATTCTTTTTTCTCCACTGATCATGTGTGAATGTGTGTGTGTGTGTGTGTGTGTGTGTACCTTAGTATCTGATGGTTTGTTCATTCAATTAGTTAAATCAGTCATTGACACCTGCTCAATCTATGTATAAGAATCCTGTTTTTAACAATTTTAAAATTATACATTTTAAAACCCACTGTGCCATCCTGCACTTGCCATACCCCTGGTTTTCCAATAGAAATTATTGGGTCCACATAGACTAGACAACTTGTATAGCAGGACAGCCCTGATGTTTTCGTCCCAGAGTTTGTCTCCAAATGTGTGTACCAGTCTCTTACCTCTGTTCATCTTGATAGAGAGGCAGTTCAGGGTCATGGCCATTAGGATGAAAATATAGATTCCTGCCTTGGGGAACCCAGGTGTGCTGAGGCTGCCCCACCATTCATCCCTGCACTGTTATGGCCGAGGGCTGGACCTGGAAGTATCCATCATTTCTGGCTGTCAGTACTGGCTGTGGCTTTAGTTTCTAGGCTAGTGGCCATGACAACCAGGAGAAGAGGGACAAATTGATGGGACTGGGCCCCCTTCCCTCTGTTCTTCTTTTCTGTTGTTGGACAGGATTTCTGAAGAAAACACCACCTCCGTGTGCGAGGAGCAGAGGGGAGCCGAATGGCTCTCTGTAGGGTCAACAGCTATTCCAGCCGATGGCAGAATTTCACACATGTGTAAATTTTTCTGTCTTCACACAGGTAGAAAACCACAAATGCTTCCTGAGGAGAAATATACTAAAAACCATTTCTGTTTTTTTTTCAGTAAATACTTAATGAATAGGTTGGTCCCTATGTATCTATATAGTGGTGGCACTTGTTAATTGCTATTCACTTAGGCCACGATGAAGCTGTATCACTGGGGCTACAGCTTGCAGTCATTACTTTTTATCTGGGTCATTATTTTGTGTGAAATAATGGCTCCTGTTCCTATGACAAGTAGATCTGTCTTACAATGAGATGGTAATTAACTCATTTTGTCATTGTAACATTACACAGGATAAGCTTATAGTCTTCTCTGCATATTAGAATTAAACTCAAAGTGATTAGAATTTTTTTTCTTAAGAACAATGCCCCAGGATTATTTTTCCACTAAGTGTTGTAAATTAGAACCTTTGGATAGAGAACGTGGATAGAAGGAGGGTAAGGCAATTTCATTATTTGTCACAATTAGGAAAAATAAAGTTGTTTGTATCTGTGTCATGTAAAATTAGCTGAAAATGCCATAATTCACATTCCCTCTCTATCATGATTTTTCACAGAGGATGAAGGGAGATATATAAAGATGCTCTATTCCTTTCAATATGGTCTAACGATTTCCCTGCACACTTTAGCTTATCAAATTAACTCTGGGTCACTGCATTTTGTTTTTTCCTCTTATATCCTGCTGTGCTCTATCCAACTGTCCCTTATGTACATTATTTATTCTGGATCATAGAACATTTAAAATTCAAATTTATGGGCAGACTTGGAGTGACTGTGTTTTCCGAGTCCTGGAAGCAGATGCTCTAGGGACGGAGAGTTGGGAGTCTGTGGGAGAGTGACAGTGCGGCCCCTGCTCCTTTGAGAGGAAGGCTCCGCCCTCCAGGTACTTCCAGAGCCTGTCCTGCGTGGCTGGTGGATTTGTGGAGCCCTTGGGATTTCCTGGTCTTCAGCGTTTCCGGAGGACTGTTAAGGAGACAGTGATAGAGAGCGAAGAGCCTACATGCTCATCTTCAAATTGCTTTACATTCTCCGGAGCATCTTGGGAAAGTGCTTATATGTTTGGGAAGCGTTTTAAAGTTTTCAGTCATTGCACACATTTTCTGGTTTGTGCTTCACACTAATTCCATTTAAGAGGCTACCCTGGCAGTGGTGTCTCCTTTCTAGACAGAAGGAAACTAAGCTCAGAGTTGATGAGGGCTTTGCCCAGGGGCTGGGACAACTAACTGTTGGAGCCTGGGTAGATCCTTTCATAAATGAAGCACCAGTGGATGGTAACTGGACTTGGGTAGAGTGGGAAGGTTCTGCGGCCGGGTGGCCATGGGAAGGTTGTGGAGAGGTGTGGTGTAGAATGCGGGCTCTGCAAAGTGAGGGATGGACACTTGCGAAGATGGAGGGGCGAGGTGGACAATGCTGTTCCTGGTGTGGACAGGAGTGTGGAATGAAGCTTCAAGGCTGAGAGAGTCACACTTGGCTGGAGTGTAAGGTGGACAAAGGGAGGAGAAAGGCTGTTTTGATCAGGGATCTTTTGATTGTGTGAAACAGAGCCCTACTCAAGCCAGCTTAAGTGAATCAGGCAGGATTGACTATAAAGATGAAAAAAAATGGCTTGGGGGCTCCAAGGGGCTGGAATTACCCT